TTTCCCTGACCCTTTGTTGGATTCTGAGTTTTCTACTTTTTTGGTTTATCTGCTCTTTTTGGTAGAGCTGTCCTCTAGTAACTACCTGAGAGAAGACACGTCAGAGTTCACTTTTTTCAAACCTATCTGAAAATGTCTTTATTTTTCTTTTTATTTTTGGTGGATTGTTTTGTTGGGTATAGAATTCTGGGTTAGAATAATATTCCCTTAGATTTTTTAGGGCATTTTCCCACTGACTTCTACCACCCAAAATGTGATGCCATTTTGATCCTAACCTTTTGTATAGGACCTATTTTTTTGTTTGTTTGTTTTTGAAATCCTTTCATTTTTATGTATTTTGACATGGCATCTTCTCATTTGCTTATCTGAGCCCCTTTATTTCATAAATTCATAAATTTTGTTTCTGGAACATTTCTTTGTATTACAAAGATAATTTTCCGTCCTTTGTATTTCAAGTGCTTATGTTTTTCTGGAGCTTCTATTATTTAGATGTTTAACTTTCTTGACTGATCCTCTAAGTTTCTTCTACATCTACTACTTTTTAGTTATTTAACTTTATCCTTCAACTTTTTCTATTGAATGTTTATTTCCATAAAATTCTTTCATATCTCTTTTCTTTCTTTATTTGAGAGATTTTTTTAAATTATTAATTTAATTTTATTTATTCATTCATTTATTTTAGTGTGACCAGAGATAGACACAGAGAGAGAGAGGGAAAGTGAGAAAGCAAGCCACCAGGTCCGGAACTTGAACCATGGTTGGCCATGTGAGAGCATGCAGTGCCTTAACCACCATGCCACTTGCTGGTGGCAAGAGAGGGATTTTTTTTTATAGAGCACATACACTCACCAGAGAAACAGAAAGCAAGAAATCACCTCCCAGGGAGGATGCCACACCACAATTTCTTCTAAACTCCATTCTCCTCTTGGGATCTCAGGCATACACACACATGTGCCCAGCATGAGTTTGAAGCTGCTGGGTCTGGGACTTGAACTACAGTTGACTACATGGGAGTCTAGCAATGTAACCATTATGTCATCTGCTGGTCCCCATATCTCTTGTCTTTGAATATTTAAATAAAAATTTTTTAATCACGTCTTGCCTTATTGTTTCATGAACTCCCTATTTTCTTTCTTTTTTCTTTTTTCTTTTAGTTTTTGGTATGAATGCATGTATGCTCCAGAGAGAGAGAGAAGGAAAGTGAAAAATCACCCCGTGCATGGGATGGTCACACCATAATCACTTCTCCTCCATTCTTCTCAAGAGTTTGAGCACACACACACACACACACACACACAGCATGATCTCAAGCCAGTAGGTCCAGGCTGGAATTGCAAAACTGGCCATGTGGGATCCAGCACCTTAATCTCCACACCACCTCCTGGCTTACATATTTTCTCTTATTTTTAAAGATATTTCTTCTGGGTTTTTGGTCTTTGTTTTGGTTATTATTCTTTAAAAATTTTCTTCTGTCTCTTTCATTATCTGTTTCCTCTGATTTTCTTTTTCTCTCTTGCTGATTTAGGCTTCTTCAAATGCCTGATGATCCTTGGTTGTCCATATTTAAGAGTGAGGCACTCTTAATTGTTCACTGGCTCTTAAATGTTCATGCACATGTGGCCAGCCTGATTTTCATGCCACGGTTCTGAGACTCAAACCACGGTCAGCCAAATGGGAGTCCAGCACCTTAACCAGCCCACTACCTGCTGGCCCCAGTAATTTCTATTTCTTAAAAAAGGAAGGAAGGAAGAGAGAAAGATAGAGAAAGAAAGAAAGAAAGAAAGAAAGAAAGAAAGAAAGAAAGAAAGAGAAAGAGAGAAAGAGAGAAAGAGAGAAAGAGGGAGGGGGGGGAAGGAAGGAAGGAAGGAAGGAAAGAAGAAAGAAAGGAAGAGAGAAAGGAGAAAGAAAGGAAGAGAGAGAGAGAGAAAGTAGGAACATGTTGGTTAAAAAAACTGGCTGTGGTCAGGAGGGAACGTGAACTCTTCAGTGGAAAACTCCTGTATGTCAGCATCCACAAACTTTTCTCATGACTGATCAGTTTCTTTAGTGAGGAACCATGTAGCGTCCAGCTTCCAGGAGAATAAGACCTGCTGTCTGCATTTTGGGGGCCAAGCAAGGAAAAAGGGCTGGGGAGCTCACCATCCAGTGCCTGCATTTTTCTTAATTTTTCTATATCCACAAGATGTCTGTATTAATACGCGTCCTTTAGGGAGATAGAACCAACAGGTTATGTGTAGATATATAAGACAGAATTTATTGGGGGAATCAGCTCACATGATTAAGGCAGCTGAGGAGTCCTACAATAGGCCATCAATAAGCAGGTGATTCTCAAATTCAGGCGGGGTTGTCTGGTCCAAGTCCTCAGAGGTAAGAAAGCTGTTCATGTAACTCACAGTCACAGTTCAGCTGAAAGCCTGAGAATCCTGGGGCAGGGGCCATGGTGTACATCCTCGCGTTACAGAACAGAGGAACCCAGAGTTCTGATGTCCAAGGAGCAGAAGTCTGTCTTGCGCTCTCAGAAGAGGGCCTTTTGTCTTCTGCATTTACTCACTCCAAGCCCCTTCTTGATAGGCCATTCCCACCTGCATTGAAGGCAGATCTTCCTCCTGTAGTCTGCTCAGCCTCATGCAAGTCTCTTCTGAGAACACCTCAATAGACAGCCAGGATAAACATGATTCATCAGGTTTCTGGATATTCTTTTTTTTTTTTTTTTTTGAGAGGTTTTCGCTATAGGGCACTTGCGCTCGCCAGACAGACAGAGAGAGACAGAGAGACAGAAAATGAGAAATCACCCCCCGGGGGGATGGTCACGCCGCAATCCCTTCTCCTCCATTCTCCTCTCGGGATCTTGGGCACGCACGCACATGCGCCCAGCGTGACTTTTAAGCCACCGGGTCCGGGACGCAAACCGCGGTCGACTAGGTGGGAGTCCAGCGACATAGCCATTATGCTAACTGCTGGTTCCCAGGTTTCTGGATATTCTTTAGTCCAGTCGAGTTGACACTCAGAACTAGCCATCATGGTACACAGGCCTGCTCTTAGTGATGGCTGGTGGTCTAGAATTAAGGCTCTGGTTAATAAACCGCTGGTATTCCCATTGCAAGGCAGATGAGTTAGGGGATCTGAGGGTTTGGTTGTCCGTAGTACTGTCACAATCAGATACATTCATTTTATGTAACTTCACATTTGTAGGATATCTTTGCCTTGACACATAGTGGTTGCTTTGAATAAATGATTAAGTGGAAAGAAAGGAATCAATCAGAACTCAGTAGCTTAAACTCTGGTCTACTTTAGTTCTAGATTTTTAGATTCTGTTTTCTTCTATTTTATAGTAATATTTGGTGTGAATGTTCGTAGTATAAAAACTGGCACTTATGCCCCATGGACTGTATATTTGCAAAAAGATGTTTATGATTTAGGAGATTTTCCCCCCTATTCTTTTCTCTTTGGCTCTGCCTCTTAAATTACTACTATTTCAAAGAAGTAAATTTAAGCCAAATGTCTTGTCTTAGAATAAACAGATCTGCTAAGCAGATTTGCAACATTTGGTATGCAGTCTTTTAGTTTGCAGCCAAAGCTGACAAAGGGTGGTGATATCCCTGTTAAAATTTGATTTTGATGTTAATTAAGTTGGGTCTTTTTATTTTTATTTTTTACCTCCAGTAAAATCTTGGGCAGACTTGTTTGGGTACATAAAATTCTGTGCTGATCTGTGGGCCTTTAGGGGGTGCCAAAGTACTTTTAAATCTGAAGTGTATCTAGCCTATTGCTGCCAACCTTGTGGTTTGGAAGAATGAATGATGAGACCTTCAAAAGGGCCTTTCTCTTAATTCAGGTTCATCAAGAAACATTTGATTTTTATGAAGTGCTCTTCTTTTCTATTTTAAGAAAGTATATTCTGGTTTGGGAACCAGCAGTTAGCGTAATGGCTATATCGCTGGACTCCCACGTAGTTGACCACGGTTCGCGTCCCGGACCTGGTGGCTTAAAACTCACACCGGGCGCTTGTGCATGCGTGCTCAAGATCCCAAGAGGAGAATGGAGGAGAAGGGATTGTGGTGTGGCCACCCCCCCTGGGGGG